GAGGAAATAAAAAAAGGGATCGGGATTAGAACAGAAGGACCCTCAGGGACAGGCATGCATGAAAGAGAAGGCGTGGCCATGCTTCTGAATATGGCTAGTTGGAATGGGTCGTGGTTGGTGAAGAACAGGTGTTTGAAGAATAAAGATAAGGAAGAATGAAGAAGATGGGGTTATGGGTACTGTAAGATGTTCATATTGGAAAACAGAATCTGCCTGGCACAAACTCATGGATGCATATAATCCGGGCCTCTTAGGCACAGGCAAATTAGCAGAAAGCAAAAGAACAAAGCAGGCAAGCAATTGCCATGGAATTGATTCTTACCCATGGTGCCCTCAGGTGTGTCAGAGTAGATCTCTGCTTATTTGCATCCCTGCCCCTACTGCCCTGAAGTTGTCATCCAATCGACCATGCATCCCAACCTTTCAATCAGCAGCTTAGTGCATTCATTGTTTACATCACCGGGGAGACAAACCAGAGGGTAAAGTCTTTCATCAGCAGGAAATGATCATTCTGCCCACTTACAAAGCACATGGCTCCTCATGTACCTGGTCTTCTCTGTGCTTAGACACTGTTTCTGCTCGTCTATTGGCTGAAGCCATAGAGTGGGCCCTTAACTGATAGTCTGGCGAGGCACCAACGCGTGCTCCCATTCACGTTCAGAGTCGATATGATGGACAAGGGGCTGTTTTGATTAATGAGATTTCTTGAGCCCTTAATTATTCTTTTCATATATTAGACTGTTCCATCAACTTGTGCTTTCAGACACACACAGGAAAATGAACATGAAGAATACACTCTAACGAAATTTGGGGCCCTCCTTTTGATGTTGCCCTCACTGGTCTGTCAGTCCATCCTGCTACGGAGGCTTGTGTGTTGCTGTGATGCTGGAAGTTGTGTCGCTATAGGTTGAATCCTACTCAATGGTATCTAAGAGCAACCGCAACTCCCCCCACCCCACTTTGGTTGCTCATATGCACACACGCATTTATTATGTTTATTCCTGAACTCTAAGCTCTTCTCTCCTGTGCTTTGCATGTGCCCTATGTCTCTCTGTCCCTGCTTGGTCATCAGCCCAGGTCAAGTCCCAGCATCTGAGAGCCAAAGGACTGTTACAGGTGGAAAAACCCAGAGCTGCCTGCTTCAATTCTCAGCTAGCCACTTTCGATGAGGCCACTGGCCTCCTCCTCTAGCCTGTGCACAGAGAAAATGCCAGGCAAACGTAAGCTCATTATGTCTAGTCAGGGCTCTGTTGGGCCCACTCACCAACTAACTAAACTCACTGCTGTGTTAGTCCGGGTAGATTAGAGAAACAAATCCATAGAAACTCAGATGTGTAGAAGAGAGAGGTTTATATACAAGAGCAATTGCATATTGAGGAAACATCCCAGCCCAGTCCAGATCAAGTCCATAAGTCCAATAGTAGCCCATATGTCTGATACCAATCTCTAAAGTCCTCTTCTGACTCATGAAACACATGCAATGACACCGAATTCAGGACAATCACAGGCCAGTGGGTAGAAAGTCTTTGGATCCAGTGGCGTTGTAAGCATCTCAGCACTGGCAGGGGTCTCATGTGGCTCCTTCTATTCCCAGGACTGCATCAGGGTAGGTCCATGTGGCTTCTCCTGAGAATCATGGGAAATCCTGTATTTCTTCCTTGGAAGCGGGAGACACATCGCTCTCTCTGCTGACTCCTTGGTGGATGCTCTACTGACAAGACACGTGGAACTATGCTAGTGCCATGACCTGGAGAAGCCATGTGGAGACCCCTGCCCGTTGCTGAGATGCTTCTACTGCTGCTGCATTCAGAAGACTTCCAACCCACTGGCCTGTGCTCTTTCTGCATTCAGAGTCATTGCATGTGTTTCGCGAGTCTGAAGAGGACTTTATAGATTGCTATCAGACATATGGGTTAACATTGGACTTATGGACTTGATATGGACTAAGTTGAGATGCTTTCTTTTTTTCTAATCATTTTATTAGGGGCTCATACAACTCTTATCACAATCCATACATACCTCAATTGTGTAAAGTGCATTTGTACGTTCATTGCCCTCATCATTCTCAAAACATTTCCTCTCCACTTAAGCCCCCGGCATTAGGTGCTCATTTTCCCCTCCCTTCCCGCTCTCCCCTCCCTCATGAGCCCTTGATAATTTATAAATTATTATTTTGTCATATCTTGCCCTGTCTGACGTCTCCCTTCACCCACTTTTCTGTTGTCTGTCCCCCAAGGAGGAGATGCTTTCTTAATGTACAATTACCCTTTATATAAAACTCTCATACACATATGAGTTTCTATGGATTTGTTTCTTGGATTCATACCTTGTACATTCCAAGTTTTAATGATTACTTGATGTTAGAAGCTGTTTCTTCCCATTTCGAGTCATGCTTCATCGGCAAATGAAGGTCTCTGATGCTTTACTCCTGCAGGCATCATTCCATCTACGTCATTATGATCGCCTCTGCTTTGAGTGCCGTGTAGTGTGTTTCAACTCGCAGTAACACCCTCGGTGGTTAAGCTTGAGGCCATTGTTGCAGTGCTCTGTCAAGCCCTCTCGGTCAGGGTCTTCCTCTTTTTCGCTGAACCTCTGCTTCAGCGTTCAGTGATATTGTGTTCATTCTGTTGCTCAAATGTCATGATCAACTGTTACAGTATTTCCCATTACCCTTCACAGATGCTCGGTATCCGCTATTGGCTTCGCTTATGTGATGATGGGAGAATCACTGATTGTACACAGTGGTGCTTTCCCATCAAATGGGACCACCTAGATCACGTTCATAATGTGTTTCCAGACTCTTCATAAGCAAATGGCAGAATAAGACTGTTTCGTATGTTCTTTCATTATACTAAAATGAAAACCGCTTTCATTATGCCTTGAAGAGGAACCATTTAGTTTCCTACAGAAAACGGAATATTTGAAAGGCAGTGGGCAGAGAGCTCAGTGCTGTACAATTGCATCCGTCGTCCGTAGGAGGTTGGGAGCAGTCAGCTGGTGGGAGGAAGAGGGGCAGCGTTGGAGACAGGAAGATTGGACAGGATGAACCCTTTCCACCCCCATGTTGCTCACCCCTAGCTCACAGCCTGATGAAGCATCTACATTTGGCACAATATATTTAAGATTCACTCAAGACGATGGCAGACCATCCAAGCACAGAACTATGGTGTTTGAACAGGAAATGTTAGACCTGCCAAACTAGCCAGGGTGGATCTAAAAAAAAAAAATCCCTCCCCTGAACCTGTTGTAACCTTCCCTGTTGTAAAGCCCTCGCAAGTATTCTGCCCTGCCACCACTTCTGCTTCACTAGACTGGCTTCTTCTTGTTTAGAACACTTGCATGATAGTGTGCTAAGTTGGCAAGGGGTGTTAGAGATCATTTTCAGAAAGAGATATACTCAGCACTGCCCCGGGAATGAAAAATCAGTGTACCATAGCCCATCCTCCAGGATAAAGTGTAGGCATCTGTTTTGCAGCCCCTCCAGGACAAAACGGATGTAGATCAAGCTGTGTGTGGTAAAAAAATGTGAAACAAAACATTTGTCATTTAACCATTTTTAGATGGACATTAATTACATTTGCCATGTTGTGCAACTATCACCGCTTATCCATTCCAAATGTTTGCATCCCTTGACCAGAAACGCAATTCCCTTACACAATAACTCCTTAGCTCCCCTATCCCTGGTAACCAATAGTAATAAGCATTTTTGTTTCTCTGTGTTTTCCTAGTTTTAGTATTTCATATCTGTGTGATCAAATAGTATTTGTCCTTGTGTGTTGGACTTTTATTTTTGCTCAGCATATTTTTCCAGATGCATCCATGTTGCGCCATGTCTCAGGGCTTCGTTTTCCTTCATGACTAATATTCATTCCACTCTATGCATCTAATAGTGTTAAATCCACCCATCGGGTGACAGACACTTTTATTTCACATTTTGGCTAGGGTAAGTAGTCCGGCAATGAGCATGGAGATCTGTTTGAGCTTCTGTTTTCAAGTCTCTTGGGTGTAGTCATATGATTAGGGGTGAAATTGCTGGTTCCTATGGCAATTCTATGTTTAATGTTGGAGGTATTGCCCAACTTTTCACAGTGGCTGAGTCACCATACTGCCCAACCAGCAGTGCATAAGGAGTCCAGTTTCTTCACATTGATGTCAGGTCTGGTTATTAGCCATCCTAATGGGTAGGAAGGAACCCTGGTGGCATAGTGGGCTATGGGTTGGACTGTTAACCACGAGGTCAGTAGTTTGAACACACAAAGCACTTCCTCAGGAGACAGATAAAGTGATCTCTGAAAACTTACAGCCTTGAAGCCCCCGGGAGCAGTTCTACTCTGTCCTGTAGGGTTGCAATGAGTCAGAATTGACTCGATGGCAGTTGGTTTGGTTTTATGTAATGAGTTTTGCTACGTTTGTCCTTAATGATGTCGAGCATCTTTTCATGGGCTCAATTTGTCTTTCTCAGAGATGGCTTCTGTTGTTGTTCGATGCCATCTAGTTAGTTCCAACTCATCGCAACCCCATAATCAACAGCACAAACCACTGGCCTCTTCACACTCATCACGAGGGCTGCATCCACCCATCCTGCTGAGGGTCTTCCTCTTTGTAGCGAACCCACTACTTTACTAAGCATGATGTCTTTTTCCAGGGACTGGTCCCTCCTGACAACATATGCCAAATGCATGAGGCAAAGATGCTTAATGGTACATCATAAGCACACTCCTAACTCAGAATGAGGCTTCAGACTCAGGTGGTGTAATGATCCTCATGGTTGGACAGGAGCTGTACTGCAGATGTTCTCATGAAAGAGTAAAAAGTCACCTGAGTAGACTGGCTTAAATAAAATCAATTTTGATGTGTGACTTGAGATAGATTCTCTGTTCTAGGCCTGTGTTGATCCTTAACTCTATCAAAAAATAATTTCAAGAGCTATAGCAATTGGCCTCCATTCTCTTCTTTACGGCTCCTACCAATGTGAGGATTTATATTTGCTTATTTTACAGATCCAGCTATCAAGCAAGAATTGAGACCCAGAAATCAACGCATCAGAGAAGAGGCCTTACTTAAAACTGGACATTGTGCCGACATTGGCCAGGGACAGAATGGGCTTCCCTGTCCCTAGAATCACCTCACCTGGTTTCTCCATGGGCCTGTTTCATGAGCATTTGCTTGCTTAGCTCATTGCAGTTACTCACAAAATAAACCACATTCCTTATGCGCTGCCTAGACCATTTGTGATCGATGACTCCATGGCTTGAATCCCTAAGGGTACAGTTTTATCCTGTGATTTTGCCTTCAGATTCTAGGCTGCTTTGGGGCAAAGACTTCAGTTTTATATCTTGTCTTCTGTAAACTTGTATGAGACCACTTAGCTGTGATTCTCTCCCTATTCTCTTCTGGGAGAGCTGGTGGGTGTACTGGGTTATGTGTTGGGCTGCCAACTGCCTGGTGAGAGGTTTGAAATAACCAGCTATCCGAGGGAGAGAAATGAGACTTTTGATTCCTGTAAAGAGTTACGGTTCTAGAAACCCACAGGGGCAGGTCTACCTTGTCCTTCAGGGTTGCGATGAGTTGGAATTGACTCAATGGCAGTGAGTTTGGGTTTTGTGGGGGGAACCCTATTACACACACACATATTGAATGATACAGGAAGGCATCAAGAGAAGATGAAAAAAATACATAAGAGTCACTGTATCAAAAAGAACAGGCCAACATCCCACCATTTCAGGAGGTAGCCAATGAGCAAGATACAATGATGCTGAAGGCAGACGTCTAACTGCACTGAATGCATTAGCCAAAAACAAGGCTCCAGGAATTGATGGAATATCCATTGAAATGTTTCGGAAAGCTGAAGCCGCACTGGAAGACAGCTACCTGGCCAACTGACTAGAAGAGATCCATATTTATGCCCATTCCAAAGAAAGGTGACCCAAGAGAATGCTCAAACCACAGAACAATATTGTACACAAGTAAAATTTTGCTTAAGATCACCCAACAACAGATGCAACAGTGCATTGGTGGGGAACTGCCAGAAGTTCAGGCTGGATTCAAAGAGGACGTGGAACAAGGGATATCTTTGCTGGTGTCAGAGGGATCTTGGCTCAAAGCAGAGAACGCCAGAAAGATGTTCATTTGTGTTTCACTGACTAAGCAAAGACATTGGACTGTGTGGCTCATAATAAACTGTGGTAACCTTGAGAAGAATGAGAATTCCAGAACACTCTATTGTGCTCACGAGGAACTTGCACAAGGATCAAGAAGCAAGTGTGCGGACAGAACAAGGGGATACTGTGTGGTTTAAAATCAAGAAAGGTGTTGTATCTTCTCATCATACTTGTTCAATCTATTGCTGAGCAAATCACCAGAGAAGCTGAATTACATGAAGAAGATGAGGCATCAGGATCAGAGAAAGGCTTATTAACAGCCTGCTGCATGCAGATGATACAACCTTGCTCCCTGACAGTGAGGAGGATTTGAAGGACTTGCTGATGAAGATCAAGGATTGCAGCCTTCAGTATGGATTACAGCTCAATGTAAGGACATTCATTGTCAAGGATTTTGTCTTACTTGCATCCACAATCAATGCTCATGGAAGCAGCATTCAAGAGAACAAAGGATACATTACATTAGGTAAATCTACTACATAAGACCTCGAGAATTGAAGAGCAAAGATGTTACTTTGAGGACTAAGGTGTGCCTGAACCAAGCCATGGTATTCTTCATTGCACCATATGCATGTGAAAGTTGGGCGTTGAATCAGAAAGACCATAGAGCAGTGGTTCTCAACCTGCCTAATGCCACCACCCATTAATGCAGTTCCTCATGTTGTGGTGACCCCCCAATCATAAAATTATTTTTGTTGCTATTTCATAACTGTAATTTTGCTACTGTTATGAATCGTGAAAAGGTTGAGAACCGCTGCCATAGAAGAATGAATGCATTTGAATCACGGTGTTGGAGAAGAATATTGAAAATACCAAGAACTGCTAAAAGGGCAAATCGATCTGTACTGGAAGAAGTACGGCTAGCGTGTGCTCCTTCGAGGCAGGATGGCGAGACTTTGTCTTACATACTTTAGACATATTGTTTGGAGAGACCAGTCTCCCTGGAGAAGGACATCATATTCGGTCAAGTGGAAAGGTGGCAAAGAAGAGGTTGCCCCTTGACGGGATAGACTGACCTGGTGGCTGCATCAATGGGCTCAGGCACAAGAACAATCATGAGGTTGGTGCAGGGCTGTGCAGTGTTTGGCTGTCTTGTACATAGGGTCGCTGTGGGTTGTAACTAATTCAATGGCACCTAACAGCATTATGTGCAGAGAGGAGCTCTTGGCCCATTGCCCTCCCCACAGGCTGCCAGAGCCAAGATGAATTGGTTTGTGTAATGAATGACTGAGATGTGCCTTCCCCCAATGAATGGTTGCTAAGCCCCCTGTGACCTCTGGCAGGCAGGAACTCTCATCTGATGCTTCTGTGGGTGAGCTCAAGCGATGATCGGTCTCCTTGTCCCCCTGAGATGGTCTTGAGTCTGAACTTAAGTTTATGTAACAGGATATAAGGGAAATTATGTGCATTCTTGGGTGAAAATTCAGAGGAGGCCTGGTTTACCAACTTGCTGGAGCCTCTCTTCATATGGAGCTTTCTCTAGATCACGAGGCTGGGACCAGCCCAGACCATTCCTCAAAGCCACGGGAAGCCCATTTCAGGGGCAACGGGTTTCTTCCCATTTCTGACTGTTCTGAGGGCAAATGTGAGAAGGTAGCTGAGGAGTTCAAACAACAAAGTCCCAACATGTAAAAGTCTTACAAGGCACCTCTTCTTGTTGTCTTCTACTGCTGCTGCTGCTGCTACTGACTGCCAACGAGTCCATGCTGGCTCATAGTGACCCGGGAGGACAGGGTAGAATTGCCCCTGGTAGTTGCTGAGACCCTAACTCTTGACAGAGGGTCCAAAGCCCCATGTTTCTTCTCTAGAGGATCAGGCTGGTGGTTTCAAACTGCTGACCTTTGGGATCTCAGCCCAACACAGAGTTCTAGAAACAACAGAAAAAAAATCAAAGAAGTCTGACTGCTTTTAATATTTCCAATAAAAAGTAGTATTTGTAGCAAATGAAAGAACTTTATTCAATCTCCTAGAAAACAGCTGGTAGATGGAAAAAAGAAATAAAAAAGGAAGGTGGTGATTCATTTTCCAAGTGCCTCACCTTATAAAATGTCAGTGTGATCCTCTTTAATGTTCCAGTGAAGGGGGGCTCAGTGTTTCGCATGAAGCTGAGAACATCATATTCCTGAGCGTGCCAAGTTGTGAGCCAGGCTCAGCATTCTCAACCCCTGCTGTGTATTTTGGGGATTAACCATGATAGATTCATGGGGGAGATTTCAAATGGGCAGAACTTTTTAATTGATTAAAAAAAAGGTTTCACCTCCTTTTTTGACTGGCTTTTTTTGTTCCTCTGGTACCTTCACCCGAATGGTGAGCTATTCCCCTCCACCCTCCTTTTAGAGAAAGGGGTTAAGAAAATGATGTTGACGAGAGTAAGGCTGGTCAATACTTTTAAACATCACTAAAGAATTCACGAGGGTGTCCGTCCATAGTTGTGCTGTGAGCTGGATTTGCTCTCAACACTAATAAAACAAAACAAAAACCCATTATTAGGGTTTGGTAGTGGGGCGGCAGGTGGACATTGGGCTCATAGTTGATTCTGGCTCATAGTGAAATGATATAGGGTTTCTGAGGCTGTAAATCTTTATTGGGGCAGACAGCCTCCTGTTTCTCCCTCAGAGTGAATGGTGGGTTTGAACTGTCGACCTTATGATTAGCAGTCCATCACTTACCAGGGTTTTTAATCATTTATACAGCCATAGTTTGCCTCATAATCATGGCTGTTCAAAATGTGCACCATGTAACAGTTAAAACTGAACCTAAACAGTTGCAGTCACGTGGACTCTTGGCGACTTCGTGGGATTCAGAGGAGGACTATGTTCCACAGGGCTTATGGTGCCTGGGGTTCTTTTTTCTTTTGGTTAGTGGATCTCTATAATTTTCTCCCGGGTACCTCAGGGTAGACTCAAACCACCTACCTTTCCACTAGCAGCTGAGCAAGTGAACGGTTCACATGGGACGGGGCAGTTAATAACTAGCAGTGGGCCTTTCCTCATCCTAAGTAAAAGACAATGAAGACCCAACCCAACCCCCAGAAACCCCGCAGAATAAGCAAGACAAGTAACCCCTGAGACTAGCTAGTCGTCAAGGCTGGCAACCAAGAAAGAAAAAGAAACCAGAGGATAGCCAACCTTTTTTTTTTCTTTTCTTTTTTTAATTAGAGTAGATTATACTTCCAAACTGGATACACTAGAAATTGGCAATGCAACATAAGATGCAAAGGGATATACCAGTTACTGTCAAAATGACCCTGTACAGCCTTGTAATGCAAAAAGCTTTATACAATACAAATTTTCAGTAATGTACACAAACCTTGACAGCATGATCATCTGAACGTCACGTGAGGCATTAAAAAAGGGCAGGAGAGAAAGTGCGGAGAGCTCTAACTGCACTACACTAGGGGACAAGCTAGCTTTCATGGACCAATGCATAGTGGCAACAGAATTGGAGTTAGTCGGTAGGTGAATTGCTCAAAGACGTTAGTGTTTTACACGGAAAGGATATCTATGGAATACATCCTTCCCTGAGTATCAAACTGCAAACCAAGTTCAGGGGCACATATTCATCTAGATGGAGTCTGAAAAATGCAGGATATTTTTTATTAATAACAATAACAATAATAATAATATAAAAAGTCAAACAAACTCCAAACACCTTTTCTCACTCAGAAATTTTTTTATAATTTACCAGAAAGATCGATGACTCTTTCCAAAGTGCTAGAAAAGTCGCCCAATTACATTAAGCATGACAAAGTCATTCAAATACAAGTTCGGTGGCGAGCAGTGAAATGCATGGCATTTGAGCAGTAAACGTCTCCTCCCATTGCCCCTTCTTCTTCTAGAACCCCCCTATTGCACACGTGGCACACTGTGAAACCCACAAGCCTGGTTGCCAGGGCCACCCACGCAGGTTTTCAACCTGCTGGTGCTAAGCACACCTCCTCCAGGGGCGTCCCGGAGGACCACTGCCTGCCATCACTGACCTTGCCATTTTGAAAGCACATCATTAGCCGAGTGGCACATTCTCCATTAGATGGGGACAAAGACACTGCTTTTTTTTTAAAAAAAGGAAAAAGAAAAACCCAGCCTACCCGCAGGTCCAGTATTCTTGGAGTGTTCATCCATAACTGTCTCTAGTGTCTGAGACACTGGCAGGGCGCAGTTGAATGGGGCTTCCAACGTGGCCCAGGACCAACGTCTCTGCGGGGAGGCGTGACCGTAGGGGTGGAGGTTGCCTGCCCTAGCTGGCTCAGTCTCCCGCCCCACCCCACCCCACCCCAGGAAGCTCCTTAGTGTAAACAGGTTTGCCAGGGCACCCAGCAGTCGCCCCCCGGAGGCTGGGTGACTGGCAGAGGGAGTTTCGCACACCTGCCAGGTCTGGGGAACGGAGTTGGGTGCAGATGAGAGGAGACCCAGGGCTGGACACACAGCACAGTCTCTGGCTTTTGGGGGGAGCTGTACTAATTCAGAAGGGTTTTCTGTGATGCAAACTGACCAGAGGAAGAAAATGAGGGATACCTTTCTTTCCCCCTGGTAGAACAGACAAAACCAAACCAAACCACATCCCGATGCTTGGACAGCACAGGAGGGCACACAGCAACACAGTAAGAACGCATCCCTCCAGCACACTAGTTCTTCAAGAGATAAATATATAAACGTCTATACTCCAAACTGCCCATCATTAGACAAAGCATGTTTTTCCTCCTGTTTCATACTGGAGACTCTCGTCTTAAAAATACAATGGCAATGAATGTGTTCCGCCCGAGATTCCCTTGCCTTAATCTTTTCTTTTTAAACCACCCAGTGCCTTGGCAAAGGGTCAAGCAACCGATCCCAATCTGCTTCCTGCTGCAATAAAGTGCTGCACATAACTTGCCATTTTAATGACCATAAAAATAAGAGCTTTGACAAAGTACAGTTACTCTCCTAGCAGCTTCCATTGACCAGGCGAGAACAAAATGACATACAGAAGCAGAGATAACAGGAAGGACAGCACGTCGCCAGAGGGTCTGCAGAAACAGTGGACACTTCTGGGGGGAGAGGGGGGGCCCCGTGAACTGAACCATAAGAGTAAAGAGCACCTTTTTTGTTGTGTCAAAGAGGTCGTGACTAGATTTTCAAACATAGAGTCTACTGGGTCCATATAAAAGGTACATTTTTCTTCCTTTTATTTTCCTTTTTTTTTTTTGCAGATGAGAAACAAAAATTAGTGCAAGACCAAAGCACTGTGCAAACTGCCGTTTCTTTTTTTTTTTAGTCTGAGCATTTATACCCAGATTTATCCAACACCCTACCCCCCCGCCCGCCCCCACCCGGTTTGTTTGTTTTTAATCTCCTTGGCTGGATTTTTCAACCCTAAAATGTTTCACTCATAGTTTTCCCCCCTTCCTGCAAACAAATGGTAGTCACTGAATGAATACATCATACATATATATATATAAAATCTGCCCTTAAAAAACGATGTGTGTAACTGTACACATTGCCTACATGTGGATGCACACACCTCTGACATTTGGTGACATGGGCTGCAGTGCTGCGAGATCTGCCCAAGATGGGTCGCTTGATTCCTGTCTTCTTCTGAAGCAGAGCCGGCTGGGCCCAGGGTGGCCGGCGCTCTGGGGTAAATTTCCAGCAGCACTGTAGCCGTCTACTGAGCCTTCGCCAACTACGCCCGGGCCTGGGCTCTCTGCAGCAGCACGGCCAGAGGGGGAGGCCTCGGAAGAGCTCCGGGAGGAGACCCGAGTGGAGGAACACACCCAGGGGGGCAAAGCACGCTCATCGCTATGTCAGGGAAGCCAGGACCACCGCTATCCCGGGACGTCTGCCTCAGGGCCTTGCTCTTCCGACATCCACAGATACCCTCGTGCCCCACTCACTCAACAGAAAACCCAAAGCACCGGCAGGTAAACCTCCCAAGTGCTGACTGCTATTAAGGACACTCTGTGAGGGCTGAAGCAGACACCATTCCTTTGCCAGGGCAGAAGGGAGGAAGGGGTGAGAACGGGAGGCAGGTAGCTGGGAGGCATGCCTCTGAAGGTAGAAATAGGCAGTAGGTCACCTCTCTGGAGATTGAATAAAGCAGCTTTCATGTCAATGCAATAGTATAACACACCGAACCAATTCTCTATTCCTTACTAAAGATATACAGTACACATGGTTCAGACCCGGAGGGGGTCTGCGAGTTTTGCAGCAACATACACCTGCTGGGGTTGTTTTTAAGTTTTATGGTTTTTTTTGTTTTGTTTTATGTTCTTGTTTGTCTCTTTGTTTTTGGTACCGAGCCCAGCTGCCCTCAGACAGTCTCTGCTCTTTCTCTTAGTCCCAGGTAGGCGAGGAAGGAGTGCTTGGGTGAAGGGATGCTGGGAGGTGCAGTCTGAGGTCGGGGAGGGTGGAATGTGAGATCCAAGTGGTTCTTGGGGAATAACATGGTCAAGGGAATGAGATGGGCAAAATCCGAGTTCCGATACTTGTCAAAGCGCAAAGGGGAGCCGTTGAAGGCCAGAGCCTTGAGTGCCAGGTTGGGCTCTGAGCTGCTCCCGTGGGCGGCCGACAGGGCCACGGTCTGCAGAGCCTGGGAGGCGGACATGACCGACAGGGGCGACAAGAGATTCCGGGAGCCCCCCACGACGAGCAGCGGGGCCCCGGGGCCGGCGGCCTCTCTGGGCGCCGGGCCCTGGCCCTTCTTGTCCTCCTCGGGGCAGTCCCCACTCTGGTGCTTCTTGACGTGGCGGCTGAAGACGAAAGGGTGTGTGGTCTTGAATGGGCACTCTTCGCAGCTGAAGGTCTGGCGCGGGGCGTGCTTCAGCTTCTTGTGCAGGTTGAGATTGTCCTTGCGCTTGCAGCTGTAGCTGCACTGGTCACAGTGGAAGGGCCGCTCGCCGGTGTGGACGCGCACGTGCTCGATGAGCTTGTTGGCCGTCTTGGACAAGTAGCCGCACTGCTCGCACTTGTAGTGGTTGCCAAGGCGGTGCTCTCGGGTGTGCGTCTCCAGCTCCAGCTGGTTGGCCTTGACCGTCTGGCAGATGCGGCACTTATACTCCATCTTGTAGTGGGTCTTGAGGTGGCACTCCATGGCGGCGGGGCGGTTGGTGGAATAAATGCAGAATGGGCACCTGCCGGGGGGAGGAAGCAACGGACGGGAGGTTCAGCCGGGGAGGGTCGGCGGCTGGGGGGGCGGAAGGGGCTGCTCCCCGTCCTCACCAGCCTCCCCCACGACCCACCCTCCGGACTCCGAGGCCTGGTCTGCCCAGCCCAGCCCTGTGGCCTCCCAGGAGCTGA